TGCACGATTGAGGAAGGGTCGGAGGTGTTCTTCAAACTGGGCAGGACACGTCATTTTATTTCATTACGCGGAAATAAGCAAATTAAGTTCTAACAACTTCAATGGTCAATAAATTAAAAATAAACAGGAATGTTTTTCAAAGAGTAGCTAAATTTTATATTGAAGGTCAAATAAATAAATTATTCTATACCGATATTACATTTTTTGTAAATACGAGTAAATAAGGCTTCTATTTTTATTTGAAATTATCCTAAATTGAACGTGATTTAACTATTCTTACGCGCTCTCCTGTGTGTGTGTGTGTGTGTACGTGTGCGTGTGCGTGTGCGTGTGCGCGTGCGATTTTGTTTCTCAACTTATTGCCTACTGTTTACTTTCTTAGTGACACGCTTACTATTAATGCTTAAGATAATAATTACATGACGCGAATTGAGATCTACATTCTTTATGCATAGACGAACACGTTTTCTTAAAATATTTTTTAAATTTACTATCTGTTCTTGAGCACTTTTAACATCTAACAAAAAAAGAAAAAAAGTGAGGAATGAATTGTTGTCAGCACTGTCCGTGAACGGTGTGAGCAGTATCCTCATACGAGCATTGCAATCTCTTTATAGGGATTCTAGTGCTTGGGTAAGGATAAACGGGGCATACACTGAATGGTTTAATATCGAAAAAGGTGTTAGACAGGGATGTGTAGCGTCACCGTGGCTGTTTAATCTGTTCATGGACAATTGCTTGACAGATTTAAAAGACAATGAAAGTGGGTAGAGAATGAATGAGTTACTCGTCAAATGTTTTCTCTATGCTAATGACCAAGTATTACTTGCGTCTTCGGCCGAGGAGTTGCAGGAGATGGTAACTGCTATGAGTGGAGCTTTTGTTAGAAAGGGAATGAAGATGAATGTAAGGAAGACGAAAGTGATGGTGTTTGAAAAAGATGAGGCAGTGACAGACTGCAATATCGTGATTGAAGATGAACAAATTAAACAGGTGAAAGGGTTTGTGTATCTGAGTTCAAAGTTTACAAGAGATGGAAAGTGTGAGAGTGATATCGAAAGAAGAGTGAATGCAGGAAACATGGTGAATGGAGCTTTGCACTCCTTTATGAGCAGTCGGAAGGTGTCTAACAAGGCTCGTTTGGCTGTGCATGAGGGGGTGTTGGTTCCGACACTCATGTACGGAAGTGAAAGTTGGGTATGGCAGAAGAAACATGAAAGCAGAATAAATGCAGTTGAGATGAGAGCGTTACGAAGTATGATAGGAGTTAAACTGAGTGACAGGATAAGAAATAGTGAGAAGGAAACGTTGTGGTCTGAAAGAAGATGTAGTGACAAAAATTGAGAAAGGTGTGCTGAGATAGTTTGGCCATGTCGAGAGAATGAATGAAGAACGATTGACGAAAAAAGTGTATAAGGCGAGTGTGAATGAAAGTGTTGGAAGGGGTAGACCTAGGCGGACATTTCTAAACCAAATCAGGGACGTCTTGAAAAAAGGCCAGTTCAAGAGTACCCTAAACCGTAGAGCATGTATGAAGGGAATAATGAAAGTGGACGAAGCGAAACAAGTATGTAAGGATCGTGGCAAGAGGAAAGAAGTGGTTTCTGTCTACCCCTATGGGAAAGAGGCGTGATTATATGTATGTATGTATAAGAGACTAACGGTGAAAGTTCCGGCGGGTTTGCAGATTCACTATTTAAGTTATAACTCACAGCACTTGAATAGTTTGATTCGATTGGTAGCTTAATTACAACACATACGCTAATTTCTCACTGCAGAAAAAGACTCCCTTTAGTATAGTAAACTTTCATTGCTTAAAATGTAATATCGCACCATTTCACAGTTTCATAGTATCGGCGGTTCAAATATTTTTGTTAAGTTATTGAGGTTACGGTCGACATTGTCAGCTGTCGGCCGTCGGCCGGGCGAGCAGACATAGGTACTTAGGGTGTACCGGTAGAAGGGAAGGGAAGCTACAATGTACTTTACCGAGCGTAAGGGTTTACGAATGTGTGCGTGCGAGGTAAAGTCAGTTAAAATAATGCATTACCACGCATTTTTAATTTAAAAGATAAAAATGACAAAATGTTTGAGATTTTTTTTAATTAATTTGTCTTCACCATTTATCTATATTACTTATTCTGAATCTTCTCTGCAAATTTGGATAGTCATTGCAAAATGACCCTGTATAATATACTTACCGCAGTATTGTCATATGGTTTTCTTTTCCTATTTTAGGAAACCTGCAGAAAGTGATAAGATGATTTTGTGCTTTTTGTACTGCATAACACACCATTCTTTAGATTATGATCACACATCGTACATAAAATTTTAAAATAATGAACTAATATTTACAGTCAATATCTCAAAAAAAAATTAACATACAGTCTCGAGGAAATACCTGCGAACGAAAAAAAAAATGAAGTATTCGCAACCATTAATTACTGCATTTAAGCAGAAAACAATAATAAATAATTAAATCCAATTCTTTTAATATATGGGCTTCACTTCATAGAGTTATGCTAATGTTTATTAATTTAATTTTAATTAATTAATAGTTTAATAAATTATAGGAATGTACCAAAAAATCAGAATTAACATTTTGAGTTTGTTCCGATATAATTCTATATTTTTGCATCTATTTTTTTTAAACGGCAATTTTAACAACGTTAAGAAAATAAATAGCGATATCTTTTTCTCACTTTATTTTTTGTCGCCCATCCCACACATAGACAAAATTATGCTTGTATGCAAATTGTCTGCTTTCATACAAAGGCGGATCACCCTGGTCGATATTAACTTGCGGTAGTTAACGCCACAAAATGTAGTAAAAGTTGTTTTCTTTAAAAAATAACTTCAGGCAAAAATTTGATTTGAAACATACTTTTTTAAACATCAAAGCACTTTTATAACCAGTCAGTAACGTGTTCTAATCATTAAAACCTTTTTCGTATTCTATTTTTTTTCAGACAGGAAAAAATCAAAATCGCCCGTTTTTTTTATGAAATGAGTGTATAAAACTAAAGATAAGGTGGCGAAAACATATTTCGATATTTCGAAAATTAAGTTCAATCGCTAAAAAGTGGTTTGTGAACCTTCATAATTAATTTTAAAACACCTTGTTGGCTTCTACTAAGTCTAACTTTTACAAAAAATCAGCCCTTGTTAAGAGTTAAGACTAAGAGTAATGAATAAATTATATATTTGCGTTATTTTGTTAAATTGAGACCAGCGCCGAAAGTATATCTTTACCATTTTATATAAGTATCTAAGTATTCTGCTTGTTCAAATTGAACTCTAAAACAAAAATCTATACAAATAAATACAATTGAAGTGTCTGTTTGTAATATCAAAATTACAGCTTTTTACTAAATGCATATGAAAATATATACGGTACTAATAACAAAAATACAATTTTTAAAGTTATTGTCTGTCTGTCTGTCCGTCCGTCTGTCTGTTTGTTCCCGCTAATCTCCGAAACGGCTGGACCGATTTTGACGGGATTTTCACTGGCAGATAGCTGATATCACAAGGAGTAACTTAGGCTACTTTCATTTAAGAAAAAGAATAAGGGTTCCGCGCAGAAAAATTAAAGCCCTAAATAACACGCGGGTGAAGTCGCGGGAGTGGAAGTGCGAAGTGTGAAGTCGCGGGAGTGGAAGTGCGAAGTGCGAAGTCCTGTGGTGGCAGCGTAGGAGAATCCATCCTTTTTCGTCCCATGGCAGTCGTAATACCTCGTTTAGACTCTCGCCTGGCAGCTCGCCTGTTGTTGCGTGGTAACGAGTGCCTGTTTACACTCTCGCGATGCGTTCAGTTTGCGTTGAGCCAGCAACGATGAAAGACGTCGAAATAATAGCGGCATCAACTCTTACCTTAATAAGTATTTATCGATGCTTGACCATTTTAAAAAGAAGGAAATTAATAAAAATACGTCGTTAAGGAAGAATATGACGGATGATATCTATTCATCGAAACAGAACCTTTTTAGTTTCATAATTTTATATAAATTACTAGTACCTATTGTGCAAGATTAAATAATATTATTTTATTAAAATTGTAATTTTAAAACAAAAGCAATTCGAATGTTATTATGGAAGGGCGCTGTAAACAAACTGAAACGAGACGCGAGTGTAAACAGCACGCTCGCGTCCCTCGCGAGGCCCTTTGCCTCGTACCCAAAAAACCGCCTGCGACGCGAGCGCCGCGAATCGCGAGGCGAGCCCCGAGTTAGCGTTTACACTCGCGCCGCGTGGCTCGCCTCGCGACTCGCCTCGCCGCTCGCGCGAGAGTGTAAACGGCGATTAAATACCAGAAAAATCTTATGGCTTCCGACAGATGGCCGTATACGATCTCGTTGACGCCAGACCGGCGACAACGCAGCCGCGTCAAAGGTTCGAGACGTCTGGAACTGCATCCACCTGTTAAGCATGATGATTGAGACAAATCCTCTTTACAACAGAACAGGTACATGTACAACAGTGGACTGAAATGATATATACACTAATCAGTGATGAAAATAAAATAAGTAATAAGTAGTAACAAAATTACTCGCTAGCTATTTAATTTAAATAAACAAGAAACACAAACATCTTAATGAAAAGGAAAAGAAAAAACTACATCAAACAATAAAAATTTATTTACTGTATATTATAACAAAGTAAAACTATATAACTATTTTATATACATACACTTTATAAAGTTGAAAACGCTTGATAACAGGCAGTTATAAAAATCACCATAACCAAGTAGTTCTAAATATGATATAAAAAACTAATAGGGCAAGAAAATAACGAGTATACTATATGAGATGTGTCAAATATGAGATTATTACATTTTTTTTACTCTACTTTTAAAAATATAAATTTTATAAAATTGAGAATATTTCCTAAATTAACTTACAACTATAGGGAAACCTTGTATAAAACTAGCACCATGTACACTTCTTTTATCCTTTTGTGTAACGTATTAACTATTGTTATAACTATTTATATATTTTTACTTCAACTTTCTCCTTCAAGCACGACTATCTGGGCGCCCTTGCCGACAGCGTCGCCTTGTTTGACCGAGGCGACCGACGCCACAACGCCATCTCGCGGCGAACGTACGACGTATTCCATCTTCATGGCGATCACGACGAAGAGTGGTTGACCTTTAACCACCTACGAAAATAAAGAAGATAGTCAATAACTGCTCTATACCGGCTTTAAAGAATCTGTCTATGAATAGTTATATAAACAGTAATAGTAAACATTACATTGTTGGGAGTTGTTTTTCCCACAATGGCAGAAAATTTCCCTTAATTATGCTTATTAAATGAATAAGAATGATGTGATAATTGCACCATTATAATCAATATCAAACCAAAGATATCCACAGAAGCTTTGCATTCCCTGAGGCCTTAGATGCACCAACTCACAGCCTGTAAATACCGCCTGTAAATACCTTTCTTATCAAGGTAGGCCACAGGTGAGTTGTCATCCATGAGGCCTGACGAAGTGCACTGGAGCCTTTATTTTACTGGCTCTCTTACCTTTCAAGCCGGAACCCAAACAGTTGGTGTATTACTGCTTGGCAGTAGAAATAGTAAGGTAAGAGGGTAATCCAGACAGACTTCTTTATACTGGGTGATATGATTAATTTTCTGCGTAGGAGTGCTTCTGGGTAAGTACTACCCTCCTACCTAATTATTATATAGCCTTTAGTTCGGAACACAGCTGCCGTCTCTTAGCTACTTCTGCCTTTAATAATAATGTAAGCATTACTATAAATAAAAAATAATTATAATAAATAGTTAAGAGGGTAGTCCAGACAGACTTCCTTATACTAGGTGATAGGACTTCTTATCTGCCTAGGAGTCCTTCTGGGTGGGTACTACTACGTACCGTTCTGGGTGGGTACCTAGTGTACGTGCGCTGTGCGTACTTGTGTGGATTTTTATTGGTAACTAGCTGATCCCCGCCACTTCGACCGCGCGTAATTTATTACGATTGGATTTCATGGGTTTTGATTTTTTGTGCGGAACACTAATTCTTTTTCTAAAATAAAAGTAGCCTAAGTTACTTCTTATAACATCAGCTGTCCGCCAGTGAAAGTCCGGTCAAAATCGGTCTAGCCGTTTCGGAGATTAGCCAGAACAAACAGACAGAGGGACAGACAAAAATTTTAAAAATCGTGTTTTTGTTATAAGTACCGTATATAGTTTCATATGCATGTAGTAAAAAGCTGTTATTTCGACATTACAAACAGACATTTCAATTTTATTTATTTGTATAGATCGATGAATTTTTACTGATGTTAGTTATGATAAGGCACTTTGAAAGGATCAATTTACTATTAACAACTATTATGTGTTTTTCTAAAACACACAGGGTTTAAGGTGAAGAAGCTGTCTGTGAACCTCGTATTTTAATCTAAATAAATGCATAAAAACCTTACCAGATTGTCTATGGTCTGTGACTTTCGTCCAATCACTCACCAGCTAGGGCGCCTGTCTTGCGCGCTCTCACTGTCAAGTGTCTATGGTCATAGCGTTTGTGAAACTCTTTGAAACTTTTTTTAACACACTTAAATCTATGTGATTTTGAGTTGAATTTACACACAGTGGTTTAAAATAGTACTACATAGTGATTAGAATAGTATTGTATTGTCAAAATGAGTGCTAATTGCAGTGCTAGTGAAGCCGAACCTGTTGAGACTTGCTCTCAAGAAAATATTCCTAATGAATCTCCACAAGCCGTTGTATCCGCGGATAGTTCGTCTGATTCTTCAGACGAAGAAGGTATATCGTCTCCGCCGCCTAATAAACGGCGACGCCGAAATTCGTCAAACATAATTTGCAATGATCCTCGTATTGCACAGGTGAGTTACTTAACACAATATATAGGCGAAATTACTCACCCAACTATTAAGCACATTTATACACCTAGCCATGACATGCTCTATCTAAAAAATCCGGTGTCTACCACAGTTCCCAGCCTTAGTCTGGGAGAATTAAATACAGACTTTGATGACAACAAGATAATACCTGCAGCCGATAAGGAAAGACTAGCTTCATTAAACCGACTTCAACAATTTGATTCTGCAGCCTGGAAAGGTACTAGATACAAAAAGGCATTACAAGCTTATGCTGCTACCCCAGGCTTTGTGGCACTAAAAATAAATGAAGAGCTATGTCATTTAAATACCGCCAAGGACTACCTAGCAACTACAGAATAGGTTCTAGCAGGTATATCCAATGACATCAAATCCAATGACACAAAAATGACTACAAGACTGTGTTTTGGGGGGATGTTTAAAAGATCATGTGGAAGCTTGCGTTCAACTCAATGCCAATCAGTTCATATTAAAAACAATAACCAATTGCCGAATACCCTTTTTAAAGAAACCACCTCTTTGTTTTCCAAACCACAGAATTGAGAATATTTAACAAAGCTCTCTCCAGCCATGACAGACATGATATTATCTCTCGAAAGTCAAAAAATTCTCGAGAAACCCTCAAAACAAGATCCCGGCTTCCACTCCAAAATGTTCCTTGTAAAGAAATCAGATGGCACACTGAGGCCCATATTCGATTTAAGGAACCTCAACAAGTTTGTGTAAATCCGACATTTTCAATTGGTGTCACAAGTAACGGTGAGGGACTTTATACAGGATCAGGACTGGTTAGTAAAAATAGACCTCCATCAGGCATACTGCCATCTACCAATTTCAAAAAGCCATCGCCATTACCTTCGAATAATTTACAATGGAGAAGTGCTACAACTAACTGCTCTTCTCTTTGGCCTCTCCTCAGCACCTCGTACTTTCGCAGCTGTAACAAATTGGATTGCGGAAATCCTTCGAGCCAGATGTATTCGTGTTCTAGTTTACCTAGACGATTACCTCCTAGTCAATCAGGACTGCTCCAAGCTAAAAACTCAGGTTGCGGAAACTGTGAGTACCTTGGAGACATTAGGGTGACATACAAACTACCAAAAATCAATACTGGAGCCATTACAACAGCTGGAATATCTTGGTCTAGACTGGAACACACAGAAAATTACAGTAGCATTGCCTACAAAAAAGGTTTTGAAAATAAAAGAAATACTTTAACAAATAAAGAAGAACATGAGTTGCACTCTAAAGAAATTGCAAATTTATTGGGACTCCTAAACTTTGCAAACTTTACAGTCCAAAGAGGCCGTTTGCATTGTCGGAGACTGCAGAGGTTTCTAAAACCATTTTCTCAAGACAGAGTGAGGGAGAAAAGAGTCTTACCACCTCTAGCTGTAAGAGAGTTAGAATGGTGGCTCAATTCCATAGGGATGAACACAACCTTGCTAAAAAGGGTCCGATAACACATTTTATCACCACCGATGCAGCGGATGCAGGTTGGGGAGCGCACCTGAACGGGTCTTACCTGTCAGGTCAGTGGACTCAGATACAAAAGAAATGGCACTCAAACGTCAAAGAGATGTTTACAGTTTTTGGCACTATTGCACATTATCAAGACATTCTGGAAGATGCCCACATTCTTGTTCAGACAGACAACCAGACTCTAGTGGCATACATAAGAAACGAAGGAGGAACAAGATCAATAGCACTTCTGGACTTAACAACAAAATTGCTAGAACTGACCGATCAGCTCAATGTGACGCTGTCGGCGTGTTACCTTCCAGGAAGGTTGAACGGAATAGCAGATCGATTGTCAAGAGATCGGCCCCTACCAGAGTGGCACCTACTGCCTCAGGCCTCGGAGGCCATATTCCATCAGTGAGGCACACCCAACATAGATTTGTTCGCATCAAAAAGAAGCACCGTAGTCCCGAGATACATTAGACTCAAAGGATGGCTGCGCAGAGTACTACGACGCCTTCAGTCGCCAATGGGACTGGGAACTAGGTTGCATGTTCCCTCTACCAAATCTCGTCCCACGGGTGTTAGCACACCTCAACAAGGCAAAGGGGATTTACATAATAATAGCTCCTCAATGGAGTCAATGCTATTGGCTTCCAGATCTACAAGCGAGAGCATTAACAGATCCATTGCCAATACCAAATTTGGAAACGAACCTGATAGACTTGATAACGAATCTACCTCCTCCACAGATAAAGGAGCTAACATTCCTAGCGTGGAAAGTTGGGGGTGGGATACAAGTAGCTCACTGGAGGCGAGAGGAAAGAGATTTATTAACCAGTAGCTGGAGAAAGTCCACATTAGTAACATATGGTCCACCAATTAGAAGATGGATTACATGGTGTAAAATCAACAAAATAAACCCTAGGTCTCCTAGTGGAAATGGTGTAGCCCAATTTTTGGCTAGACTATACTTAGACGAAAACTTTGCATATAGCACCATCCTTCTACAAAAATCAACTATTTCAACTTATTGTGCTAACATTGAAAAAAATTCATCAAATTTCTTTGTCCACCAAATTCTAAAGGCAATATCTGTGGCTAAACCAAAACCTAAGAAACCACCAATTTGGGATATTAAACTACTTTTTAATTGGTTGAAGGAGGCTCCTAGTACAAATTCATTTTTTGACATTTCAAGAAGGACTGCATTAATCTTACTTTTAGCATCTGGACATAGGATTCATGACCTATCTCTGTTACATATCTCAAAGGATAAATTGATGCAAAAGGATGATGAGGTAATATTTTGGCCAGAATATGGATCCAAGACAGATTCTTCTACTTACCAGCAGTCTGGCTGGCATTTGTTGAAACATCCTGATGCAAATATTTGTCCAGTTAGATATGTTTATTTGTTAATTCAATCTTCACAAGTAAGAAGAGAAAAAGAAAACATAGATCAGTTTTTTATTTCAGTTACAGGCAAAATTAAACCCGCCTCAAGGACTATATCTGGTTGGATTAAAACTATATTTAAAGTAGCAAACATAGAAGCATTTCCAGGAAGTATACGGTCAGCAGTAGCTTCCAGGGGTTGGCTTGAAAACAGGCCGGTACAAGAAATACTAGAAAGAGGAAACTGGCGCAGTGAAAAAACCTTTAAAAAATTCTATTGCCGTCCAGTTATTTTAGAAAATAAAGATAAATCTGATTTCTTATCTTCTAATTTTTGTCCGGTTTAATTGAATTATTTTATAAGTTCCTATAATTCAATTAAGTTGTTGTTTTAAATATATCCTCATACTACCAGATTTAATAATGTTATTAAGTGTTGCTAAGCTCAATATTAATATATTTATAGTAATTTTGTGATTTTGGATTATGATTAGCTATGATGGTCTCGCGGAGATATAATTTGAGTTTAATTAAAAGTAATTTTAATTTTTAACAGTTATAAGATGTTTCTTAAAAGTTATTATAACCATAATTCATGTGAAGTTTTTCATTATTAAATTGTTTTCAGAATTATCACATAGTGTTTGTGTTTATATTTCATTATTTCACCAGCAGATATCAAACACGTCTTCACCTAAACGCTGTGTGTTTTAGAAAAACACATAATATAAATGTTTTGCATTACAACAAAACATGTATTATGTGTTGAATAAAACACACAGCGTTGCAGTATAAAACTTGCTGGTGGTGAAGACGCTATGACCATAGACACTTGACAGTGACAGCGCGCAAGACAGGCGCCCTAGCCGGTGAGTGATTGGACGAAAGTGACAGACCATAGATAATCTGGTAAGGTTTTTATGCATTTATTTAGATTAAAAGACGAGGTTCACAGACAGCTTCTTCACCTAAACGCTGTGTGTTTTATTCAACAAATAATACATGTTTTGTTGTAATGCAAAACATTTATATTTAGCTAATAAGGACTAGTATATTTACTCTATTAAGATAACAATAAGTACATACATTAGTGTAATGAAGGGAAACTAATGTATTCTTTTAACTTTTAATTATTTGAAAAAAGATGTAATATTTTGCGAAATAGTACAACAGCACGCCTTCGTTGTATACAGTTAACATAAATAATAGCAGTGAGAAGTCACAAACTCTTTATTCTCGGTTTAATTAAGTCTACCTATTTCGTGTTGTTTACATCAGTGGCCTGTTGTTAATTATTTTTTCTTATTCCTTCAAGATATACCTACATATAAATGTTAATCAACTGTAATGTATTTGCTGTAAACATTGCGGTTTTACAGCCTCATAGGTGTTAGGATAATCTGTCAATATATGGGGAAGGCCTATGTTCAGCAGTGGACTTTTATAGGCTGTAAAAAATGGAATGATAAAAGCATGACTAACAAGAAAAGTATATTATATTGTCGATTAAAGGTCAAAATGTTGATGCATTGGTTTCCCTGAGGGCCCGATGGACTGCATCGTTATTAGGAAAATGATCTTAATAAAAACAGACAACAAAACTTTAACAAATGTAGCGGATTTCGCATTGGATACGAATTTTATACCAACGACTTCACAGAGCATTATAGTAAATAATACATTCAATAAATTGTGCTAAATTAAAAACAATTTCCTTACTTTGTCTCCTTTATTGACGAGTATCCTCTCCAAAACGCCTGGCGTCGGCGAACTGGCACTATTTGAAGAAGCGCCAGCGTCCCCACTGGTGATCGTTTGGTACTTAGGTCGGGGGAGATGTACTACTGTTTGTCCATTCTGTTGAATTATAAAAAAAAAAATATTTTTAATAAAATAGTAACATCAGTTTAATTGTTAATGTAAATGTTTCAAATTTATGTGTGAACAATTCTGGTGCTACATAAAATAATGAAATATAGACCGGTGAACGTAAACAAAACATGGAAGCATTCTTGGCGCCAGAAAATATAAATAATGGTTTAATTATTTATGTAACAATACAACCTATATTTTTCTATGAGACTTGCATTAAGCCAAATATACTGTTATCTGTACCACATGAAAGTGCATGTTACAGCATGGAGATTTTTCTACATGCTGATTTTTTTTACAAAACAGCTTCTATGCTCTTTTTTCACGACTTTTCTTTTACATTTTCATAAAATTCAAAACGAAGAGTATACTATAGGCTTAAGCTATTAATTTAGAAGATAGAGTTTTGGCGGGAAATTGACCGGCGGCGGTTTGCTGCTCCTGTATTATTGTTTAAATAATGGTTTGAAGTGGACTTTGATATGTAAAAGTGTTGCGATTTTGTGTATTAAGTGTCTACGCATGTGAACTATTAGTGGAAACAGTGAAACAAGTGCTCTGATGGTGATGGATTCTCAAGATAAGCTGTTTGTTTGCATAGGCACCTTTAGATACCATCGCCAACTATCAGCTGTCTCCTGGATCAAGTTGCCGCCAAAATCTCCCAAGAACTGCACAATGTGACGCATCAACATATTGTGAAGCAGTATACTATGAAGGAGTGGGGAAATTACAATAAACCGAATAAAAATACTTAAGACTTGGCCTAAAGGTCTAGATACCAGGCCATAAAATCCAAAAAAAAATTTAGAAGATAAACACCACGAATGAACCCCAAGAAAAAATACAGTGTTCAGTCCACTTTAGACGATTTTTTCATCATCACCGCCAGGCGGGATTGTAGTCGAGCACTGGCTTATAATAAGTTAAAAAAAATGCAAATTAACTTCAAAATATACGAAGTATAATACAGCTTTCAACTCTACATGGATTATTTGATGAGTATCGCATAATTATTTTGACTAGACGTGAACCGGATCCTGGTTCTGCCGCATGGCCGTCAACCGGATACCCGGCGCATAATTTTGCCGGGTAGGCGGCTACCTTGCGGCATTTGGAGGCTGAAAATCGTGCGTTTTGACTTGTACTTGCGGAACTGAGCACACCGTGCCCGCTTTGCTATTATTATTTTTTGCGTGCTCTAGCTATTCATCATATTATTATTCAAAGTTGAATTCATACTCAAAGTAATTAAGGCAAATTGTTATATTGTGTAGAAAAAATTAAAATATTTAATTATTGGAGGTCAATATTGCTGTTTTTCTCAGACGTTAATAAATAAAAATTATTAATATCACAATACGTATGCTGTTTTTAATAACCTGACACTGCCGGATGCCCGGTTTCATTATCCGGTACCCGACCGGATCATAAAAATGTGCCGGATCCGAAAAGTACCGAATCTAAGCCGGGACCCAGCTCATCTCTAAATATGATGCTTACCTCATCATAAATATGAACTTCTTGATCGTAAGTCAAGAGTCCAACATTGCTGGTTTTGTCGTCGACTTTAATGATCAAACGTAGCCCTTGGTCTGTATGCTTGAGGGACGCTTCCACATGTTTCCACTCGCCGTCGTCCACTTGGACTTTGTATGTATTAGGGGTGCTATCATATTCAATGTTTACTTTGACATCTGAAAAAAAAAAGAATGTTAAAATAGATATTTTTTTATAAGTTAACTTCTTTTTTTTATAATTTCGAGCCGGGATGGCACCACGCTCTCACAGAATACCGGCGTGAAGTGAAAGCTCTGCTTTTGCGTTTCGTATGGCGAGTGCAGGTTGCCGGAGGCCCAATTCCTCCCCCCCCCCCTTCATCAACATGGTAGCGGAATTAAATGTAAGACTGCCCCAGGAGGGTACCAGCACCCCAGGAGAATCCTTCGCTGAGCCCCCACGACCAAGCTACAAGCTCCGAATACAAGCCCATTAATGCTGGTGTTCCATAAGGCTTGCTATCACCAACGCTGTTTCTTCTGCATTTTTTTATAGGATTGGGTGACAAACGAGCACACAGTCCACCTGATGGTAAGCGGTTGCTGTGGCCCATAGACATCCACTTCTGTCCTCAATAAAGAATCAAAATGCAGATGCGTTGTCATCAGTGAGAACTAAGATGGAATGCCCCTTTTCCAGTAAAAGAGTCTCCAGTTCTCTACACTCACCATACAAAACACCGCAGTGTTATGCTGCTATTTTACGCTGGTATTCTGTGAGAGCGTGGTTCTTCCCCGGTCGAGCCGTCCCATTCGTACTACAACTATACTATTAATATAGCCGCAGCATGGCTCTACCACGTAAAAAATATATATAATAGCATATCAATTATATGTTGCGAACCAGTAACATTCATTGATATGCGGATAACAGCACTGGTGATGCTTTATACACTGGCCGTGCCAATATTTCTCGGGAAAACGTCGCCGAGTACCGGAACAAACTGGTGTCTGAAATCGAGTCTTTGCTGAATAAAGTTTCGGATTGGGGGCGATTAAATCTACTCCAGTTTAATCCTCAAAAGACACAAGTTTGCGCGTTTACCGCTAAAAAGAACCCCTTTGTGGTATCTCCTCAGTTTTAAGGCACTCCCCTTGTTGCTTCAGCCTGTACCGGAATCCTCGGCGTCGACATATCGAGTGACGTGCAGTTTCACGGTCACTTGGAGGAGAAGGCCAAATTGGCCTCTAAAAAGCTTGGCGTGCTCAGCAGAGCGGGACAGTATTTCATGCTGACACACCGCCTGCAACTTTACACGGCGCACGTTCGGCATCTCATGGAATACTGTTCCCATCTCTGAGCTGGGGCTCCCCAGTGCCAGCTCCTTCCACTTGACCGCATCCATCACAGAGCGGCTCGAATCGTTGACGACGGAATCCTTTCCAATCGGCTCGATTCACTGGCGAACAGATGTTGCATCCCTTTGCATTTTGTTTCGCATTTACCACGGGGAGTGCTCAATTTCACGAACACACATCGCGGCAAAACTCCCTATACCACCACACCTTCTGGATGCTTGGCGGTCCGCCACTGTACGTTTCACTAGGAGTTTTTCTTCCGCATACGACCTCTCTGTGGAATAGTTTACCACCGGAGCTTTTTCCGGACCGGGACCTTCAAGAAAAGATGTTATTCCTTTTTAAAAGGCCGGCAACGCACCTTTAATTCCCCTGGTGTTGCAGTTGTTCATTGGCGGCAGTAGTCACTTACCATCCATCAGGTGAACCGTATGCTCGTTTGCCCCCTCTCCTATAAAAAAAATTATTATTAGAATATTCGATGATAGCTTTTTGACAAACGGGCACACTCCACCTGGTGGTAAGTGGTGTGGCCCAGACATCTACATTTACTATCGATTATGAATCAAAATGCAGATGCGTTGTCTCTCCTGAGAACTAAGATGGTATGCCTTGTTTCCAGTAAAATGGGTCTCCGGTTCTCTACGGTCACCATACAAAACACAGCACCGTTGAGCTGCTATTTTAAGCTGGTATTCTGTGAGAGCGTGGTCCTCTACCCCAGTCTAGCCGAATCATTCGTGCTACAACCATAATATAGCCGCAGCTATATTATAGTTAAAAATTGTAGTTGTTTTATACCTGAGTGGTAACGTAAAACTCATCCAATGAGTTATACGTACGTAAAATAGCTTGACCGGCGACGGGCAGTAATGTCAAGATGTCGCCTAATCATGACAATAGGGCTAAATCCTATACCACGGCGGAGACTCATGTCCAGCAGTCAACTGAACTGTCGTTTAATTAATGGCAGTTTGTAAATAGAAAAACTTTGCTATCTATTACCTTTATCATCGAATTTAAAATTGACTGTCCTTCGCAGTTGATAGTTCGGTCTCCAAGCAATCGGCGTAACCGATATGCCTTTCCATGTGTCGTTTACAGAAGCCGAGAGCTGCGATTTGATGAGCTGGAAACAATATTTGACTATTATAATCAAAAGTTACCTGGAGCCAGCTACAGTAAAACTCTTGGTGTAGGAAGTAACAAATAATTAATTATTATTTAATTATTATTATTAATAATAATAATAATATTCCACAACTATCAAACAACGCCATTCCACAACTATCAGACAATTGTGTTATGGGTACTAGACAACTGATAAACATACTTATATATTTCTAAATACATAAATATTATAGATAAATTACACCCAGATACAGAACAAATGATCGTGCGCATCACACAAACATTTGTCCTGGGTGGGAATCGAACCCACGACCTCCGGCGTAGCAGTCAGGGTCACTAACCACTAGACCAACAGGCCAGTCAATACTTATTATACCATTATACTATTTATACCTAGTCAGATCATAAGTATTGTCACACAGTAAAAACTTTTCTTTTAGAATGCTGGCCACAATAAAGTTTATTGAATTCGAATTTCGAATTGTTCATGAAAATAAAATTGTATACTTTTTAGAATTTTACTCATTTTTAAAAATGGAGTGGACGCTTAAAGAAGACCGTGTTGCAGTTATTGCGTTGCATCGTTGCGGTTACGCGCCAATTCAAATTTGACATACTGAAAAATTTTAATATAACCAAAAGATTCGTTTATCGTACCATCAAACGATACAATGAAGACTCTAGTGTAGATGACAGGTCAAGAAGTGGTCGCCCTCGGTCTGTTAGGACTCCAGCAGTGATAAAAGCTGTGAAGGCGCGAATTCAAAGTAATCCCAAACGTAAGCAGAAACTGTTGGCCCTTCAGATGGGGTTAAGCAGAACCACGGTGAAAAGGGTGTTAAATGAAGACTTAGGGCTTCGGGCATATCGAAGAAAAACAGGACATCGTTTGAATGCTCGTCTAATGGACCTGAGACTGAAGAGATGCCGCGCTTTGTTGAAGCGGTACGCGGGAAAAAAATATCGGGAAATTCTTTTTTCGGATGAAAAAATTTTTACCGTAGAAGAGAGCTACAACAAACAAAATGATAAGGTGTACGCACACAGTAGTGAAGAAGCGAGCAACCGTATTCCGCGTGTCCAACGAGGTCATTTTCCATCCTCGCTCATGGCATGGTTGGGAGTTTCTTATTGAGGCTTAACAGAGGTACATTTTTGTGAGAAAGGTGTAAAAACGAATGCAGTTGTTTATCAAAATACAGTCCTGACGAACCTTGTGGAACCTGTTTCTCATACCATGTTCAATAACAGGCACTGGGTATTCCAACAAGATTCGGCACCAGCTCATAGAGCGAAGAACACACAAGACTGGCTGGCGGCACGTGAAATCGACTTCATCCGGCACGAAGACTGGCCCTCCTCCAGTCCAGATTTGAATGCGTTAGATTACAAGATATGGCAACACTTGGAGGAAAAGGCGTGCTCAAAGCCTCATCCCAATTTGGAGTCACAATCCTTGATTAAGGCAGCCGCCGATATTGACATGGACCTCGTTCGTGCTGCGATAGACGACTGGCCGCGCAGATTGAATAGTAGTCATTTTGAATAAACTTTAGTGTCATAAGAATCTATGTTTTGCTAAGTTCATTTTGGTATATAAATGGTTACATAATGAATAAACTTGTTTCAATTATTTTATATTAAACATGTGGCAGAATTTATGACCTGACTAGGTATTATTTAACTTTGCAGATTATATAATATAATCACTACTGTGTTTTGCATAGGAAGGAGACTTAGTAAAATTAAAAATTACTTAGCTAAGTAATACTAAACGATAATATTTTAGCCTACCCCAAAGTAATGAACATTGGGTAATTTTTTTAGTAATACAGTCGATAGGGATCATTCTTAAAAAGTCTTATCCCGCACTGGATTAGGAATTGCAGTTGTAGATAAATACTCGTAGAAAACGCAAGGCATCTGTACCCCAAATGTATACTGACACATCCTAAGTTATCCGTTATCCGCGTCAGATATAAATTTGTGATTGTGAAATGTGTGAAAAATATGGGATAATTGTATTGCGCGACAATTGATACCGTTAATTTGTAACTAAGTTTTTGTGATTACTCACTTCTAATTTTAATTTATATAAATATTTAACGTAAATTTTGTTTGTTCAATATAAGTATATTTAACACAGTTTTTAATAAGTGAATTATTATAATTTTTAATTAGAAAATAAAGTCATAAAAAAACCTTTGTTTCCGCAAAAATATTGTCTTTCCTAGGATTCAATTTAGTCGAGTACTCTGGTTCTATTGCGGATCCTAATTACGATGTCTATTACGCACAGAAGCCGACATAGCCCAATTGATCAGTATCAGTAAACTGAAGTGGTAATGGGCACGCCATGTCGCTAGAAGAACTGACAACTAATGGGGAGAAGAATTTCTCGAGTGGTAGCCTCGTAAAGTTAAGCGATTGTAGGGCGGTCCTACTAGATGGAGTGACAACCTGATAAGATATACAGGAAGTCATTTGATGGAGATAGCTAGTGACATTCCGTAGTTAGTGACATTCTTTGGAGTCTGCTTATGTTTAGCAGTAGACTTGTGAAGGGATGATAATGATGATGATGAGTACTCTGGCCAGATATATAACATAAATTTCCAATTTTACCTAGTAAATAAATTACAATTAAATTTACAATGAAACTCACATATCCGAGGGCGGCTTGTATGGCGCGCTGTTCGCCAAGTACCAAGTCCGTGTCGGGGAACAGCTCGCGCTCGTGTTGTTGTATGAAGGCGGTATGCACGTCGCCCGCCACGAACGCACTGGCGCCACTCAGACGCAGCAAGAAATTCACGTTTGTCTCCAATCCTGCTACCTACATTGAAACTGTGTTTAATTGAATTATTGAAGTGAAAAAGTCTTTAGAATCGTTGTGATTTGACACTCGATGAAACGAAAAAGCGACAATAAAAATAAACAAACATATACATCTATAGGATTTAGCCTGCGAGAAAATGACATAGAATACAATATACGGTTTGTGATTTACAGTGTTTCCTATTATGAATGGAGATTATGCATGTGATTTACGAGGAGTTAAAATTAAGGACGAAATTATAAGTACTTACGATGAGAAAACTGAAAACTTTCAGTCTGTATAATATGTAATGTAATATAATATGTAAATTAAAATGTAAAATATTTTTGTAACGAAGTTCCTTATCGCACGGTACGAATTTGGCAGATAGGGGCTAGGCAAGGAAAAGTGTAAGATTTTTCCCCCATGACCCCCTTTCTATAGTGCGAACGATATGGAATAATATCCATCTCCCTCGCAATTTTTATCTTAGCATGAAAGAAAATAGAGGCTAGTAATTAATTTATTTGTATTTTAATTAATCAATAATATAATACATTTATCTATAATAATATACTACAAAAGGAACTTCGTTCCAACCGAATGTTCCACGACACTCACGCATGCGTTTTTAAATTTTGTAGCAATATTATAATAAATAAACCCTTTCATTCGTCTTATTCTCTGGAAATTTAGTTTTCTGAAAGTTTCACTTCTACCGCGTGTGAACTGCACACATTTTTTGTTAATTTAAATATATATACTGACTGCCTCGATGGTCTAGTTATCATAAGCGCGACTGCTTAGAGAGAAATAACTACGAAGTACGTACGCACGCACTTATGCACATACGCGCATAAAAACCTTATCCGAGTCTATTGCACCTTGAGTTTGAAATTTTGATTTCCAGTATTTGAGCCATTATTACTTCTAAAACTGTAGAGCCTAGATTTATTCAGTCCGCCCGTGATTAAGGGTATAACAATTTTTTTATAGGATAAGGTGATAAAGGAGCATAAAGTCCACCTGATGGTAAGTGGTTGCTGTGACCCATAGACAAATGAATGATGAAAAGACTAGTAAATCACTAATTTCAATAACAATTCATATACATTTTATTGTTGTCTGTTTAAACAAAGTGTATAAATATGGTTAGCAAAAAACTTACTTGATACTCAGAAAGTTTTCTTCTGGTTTTGGCTAAAGCTTCATTGCGATCCTGACCCCACACAACAAGCTTTGCAATCATAGGGTCGTAGTGAACTGAAACTTCTTGTCCTTCGCGCACGCCTGTCTCCACCTGTCGATGATATAATTGAAGAAAATGCAATAACTAATGTAATGATAATCGGTAGCGAAGCCTCCATAGAAGGCGAGAAGACGGGCTTGCCCTGTCAAACTGCTCAATCAGTAATATCAACTAATAAAATAACTCTTAAATTGTTTCAAACTATTTCAAATTTCCCGCGCGCTCCTCTGTTTTACATAGGTCATGACCTCGTAGCCTTATTATGTAACGTCAACACTTGGCAGATTGCTTTCAATACGAAATACACTGATTCGTGTTCTCTCTGTCTCAAAGCGAAAACGCAATGGACTGTCAAAATTAATGAAAGCAAAGCAATGTGGATGGACCCCGGTCGCGGCAAAACTGTCCGATACTGCTGTCATATAAAAGGAGTTGAGTAGAGCAATTAGTCGTGTCTCTCACACGCGTGGGCTTGTTACCGGGCTTTCGAGAAGACGATCGCTCCCTTTCTAACCTGTGGCAAAATGTTCTATAATGAAATATAACTACGATTGTTTATATAGGAATTAGTATGGAGCGTTAAGTTGGGCTTTCGGTGTGTAGTCGAGCGCGGAGCCGTGCGGGCGATACGATTGCAAGTTCACTTCACATTTCAATGTTTACTCTGTGTGTTTACTTGAGCGAATAAATATTGCTAGTTGAAAATCTATGCTTTTTTAAATATTTTTAGTGAACATGGAGGATAATAGTGTTCCTTGTGATGAATTGAAGCGCGTTAAAGTGCTAATCGGCGAGGGAAAGGTAGAAATCTTTAAATTTTGTTGAGAAATAACTGCTCATATCTACGCCGAAACCAACGCCTGATCTGTGAATTTCACATCCATACTTATTTGAGAAATACACAAGGTCAAGAGCGTCTTTCAGACTTATCAATTATCGCAATTGAAAAACAGTTATTGGTACAATTGAAACGTTCACCAACATTTTACGCGGACGTAATCAAATATTTCCTTAAGAAAGAGATTTGAAAGAGACGATTCAATTTAGAATATAAATAATTTGTTTTTTTTTTTTTAATTTTGTACATAGTTTGTTTGTAATTTATGTATGTAAATACCTTTTTCTTTCGCTCAAGCAAATCCAAACGGCTTTTTTCAAAGCCACCGAAGGTATACAATTGCTGATATGTCATACAATCTATCTAGCAGTAGTATGCCTTATGTGTGCTTTGTTAAACACGTCCTCTACAGCACTGAATATGAAACTGAACAGTGGAGACCGATCAAGATTGATGTATTTTTATAAAACTGCTAAAAACAACAAAACCATATCTTGGGCTTGCCCTAGTTTGGATCCCTAGCTTCACCACTGATGATAATAATGTCCTCCAGACCGCATTTCTATCACAGCCAATATGTCTTAACGGAGACTAGCCATCATCTGCGCAGGACGGGATTATAGACATGAGTGTGTGCGCAAGTATAACTACGTAGCGGCACGAATCGTGAGCACAGCCTTGACATGCCCAATAGTTAATTAATAGGTCTATTTGGTGAAGAGCCGTGGTAGCTCAGGGGCTTTTCACAGTACGCGAGCAACCTAGGTTTGATCCCCGCCGGCAGCAATTAAATTGTTAATTGCAATTTTAAGTGCTCCGCGGTGAAGGAAAACATCACTCAGAAATTAGGGAAGGGCTGTGCCCAGGAGTGGGACGTATATAGACTGTTTACTTTACTTTTGATGAAGTACGCGGGATGGGTACAGTGAACATTCTTTCACGTGATTGGTCCGTTAGTTAATTGCCTGCAGTATTATTGACTTGGTAATGTACATGCACAAATAGTGTCCTTTGGTGTTCACGACTCTCATGGCTATTTGTACTCTCTATTGCTTTATTCTTATAGACAGTAATCCGAGGAAATAAAAATTTGTAGTGCTTTCTTACTCGAACAAATTCCTCAGGTGTAGGCTGAGTCAATCTATGCAAAGTGCCAGCGCGAGGTAGAAAACCAGCCCTAGGTTCTTCAGCGTAAATGCGGCATTCGACTGCGTGGCCCCGTCTCACAATGTCCTCTTGTTTCACTGGCAAAGGCTCCCCAGCTGCTACTCTCAGCTGCCATTCTACTAGATCTGTACCTGCAAGAAAATGCGAAATCGAATTTCCGTTTCTCAAAGAAACAAATTTACCTGGTAGTATGTTGTATGGAAATATGAGGTAAATCTTTTACTAACTTACTACCTACTATCTACCAGATAGTACAACTTTATATTTTAGCCTACAAAGAGCTTGAGAAGCTTCGTTTTCTTCTACATAGTATAAAACAAAGTTGCTTCTAGTCGTCTGTACGCTTAGATCTCGTAAACTGCGCAACGGATTTTGAAGCGGTTTTTATCAATAGACAGAATGATTTAAGACAAAGGTTTATATGTATAATACATGTATATTATATAATTCTTCTGTCTGTGGGTATGTGACTGAACTCCTCCTAAACGGCTGGACCGATTTTGATGAAGTTTTTCGTGTGTGATTAAGTTGATTAAATAATTGTTTAGATTCACAATTGGACCCGGTAGGTGGCGCTGTTATCGAAATCCAGAAATCAACCGTGCGAAGCCGGGACGGATCGCTAGTAATTGATATAAATAAAGTTCAATCTTAATGCAATAATATACAGACTTCAGCAAGGCTTTTGATACAGTAAATCATAGTATATTGTTGGAAAAACTACAATTATACGGTGTTACTGAACCTGTGATAGGTGGCCCTCATGTAAGTAATGGGACACTTAGTTATAATAATTATGATGTCATTCCATATGTAAATAACAGTGTATGTTGTGCGACCCTAATAAAATAAATAAATAAACAGAAACTATACCAAACTATACAGTACTTTCGTAGGGTAGTGCTAGCATATGGTTATCGGTCATCTCATTTAAATAGAGAATTTCGTAATAGGCAGCTATAGGATGTCAAAAAAAATCGTAGCATCAATCTATCCATCAATAATAGATAAAAATAACATACCTGTAATCATCTCAGTAATGGGGTGTTCGACTTGCAAACGTGTGTTCATTTCCATGAAATGGAAGTCGTGAGTTACTCGGTGCAATATAAACTCTACCGTGCCAGCACCAACATAGCCTACGGCTTTTGCCGCTCGTACAGCCGCCTCTCCCAATGCCCGTCTAGTGTCCTCTGATAATCCTGGCTTTAAATAAAAACCGTAGTTTATTTGAAAATTCATTATTACCTTTATTGAATTTATTTAGTTTTGCGGTGGTATTATTTTGTTCTTTCAGTGGTTTAGAGTTAGGACATGTAAAAAGAAAAGCAATGAACACCCTTGACAGAAGTTTATAGAACATATTGGCGATATATTAAAGATAGGCTAAATTAAAAGTAACCTTAACCAACAAGCACGTACGAGTACACATCGATATTTATGTGGATGTGAAAGATGAGTGAGACGTGCAGGATTGTGCCAAATGGAACTCTGTAGTCTCTAACTACCCGTCTTGGTGATAAGCGTGAGAGTTTTTTAATGCTTATGTTATTTAGTTTGTAATACAAACTTCAATTAATAGTATAATGTGTTACATGAAATAATCAAACATACTGCAGGTGCTTCTTCTATAATTTTCTGATGACGTCTTTGCACAGAGCAATCCCTTTCAAATAAATGTACTGCGTTTCCATACATGTCTGCAAAAACCTAAAAAGTAAATAAATATTCAGAAAATAGTAAATGTTTATGTAAGTATATTTATCTTCGATTTAAAACATGCTATTATATAGCTGACCATGAATATTGAATAATTATGCAAATCATACCATTTTAGCTATGTTCAAGGAAATTACATCTAGACATATATCATAAACATATTATTAACTTGTCACAAAATACAAGCAACGTTTTGACTAGTGCTATTTTTACTATTTAACTCTTCTTATCAATATTATATGTCGCAGGTTTGTAGTAAAATTAGGTTTTTGATCAAAAACCTAGGCTTTTGATCAGGATCCGGAAGAAAACAAAATTATTAATCTTATCATTAACCTGAAAAATGCCTGTTTTTTGATCAAAAATCCTAACTTGTTTAGGTTTATGATATAATTTAAGCTTAGGTTAAGTTAGGTTAGGTTATCTAATAGTTTCATTTATTTAAAGAAATAGCAACCGACATATTTTATCATAAAACTAAATCAGTCTAAGTTTTTGATCAAAAAACTGATTTTCTCAGGTTTAAGATAACATAAATTAGTAATTTCGTGTTCTTTCGGTTCTTGGTCATAAGCCTAGGTTTTTGATCAATAACCAGGTTTTGTTATAAACCTGCGACATATATAAACTATATGCTGTAGAAGTAGAAAGTAGAAGAGTGTAAGAGAAGACTTTTTATCCTATGGGTGTAGTAACATGAATTACAGAAAACGCCAGGAATACTCTTTTGGCATTTCAAAAGATGACAAAATAAAAATCTTAATATTGAGAAACAATTGGGAAATAAGCATTCAATAATAACACTGAAATTGATGCCAATTTTAAGGAGAATGTGAAATTCTCCTAATACTAAATATTCTATTAAAGAGCAGTGATATATGTTTATACATAATATATTGTGTTAGGTAAATAATCTAAAAAAAAAAACAATAGAAATATCAACACACCTGCACCTCTACATGTCTAGGATCTGTTATGTATTGCTCCAATAGCATGCTTTCATCACCAAAAGACTTTAAGGATTCTCTCTTTGCAGATTCTAATTGTGACAAAAATTCGCCTTCAGTCATTGCTATTCGCATGCCCTGGAATTAGTTTAAATATTTGGTTTGATATATGAAACTTGAGACAAACTGTAGTACACAAACTATATTGTACATACTTATACTTAAGTAAAAATACAATACTTTTCAACAAACAACAAAAGCTCATCAAGCAACATTAGTTCCTTAGGATTAGTCTTTTTCTACCGTCTTTAAAAAGCAGACGGTGCTAAATTCGACTGTATATTTTTTTATGTGTTATAACTCTTTTCTGGGTGAACCAATTTCGATGATTCTTTTTTATTTGGAAGCTGGTGCTTCTCATGTGGTTACATATAAATTTGATCAAGGTCTGACCAATAGTTTTTGAGTTATTCTCTATCATTTATATTGAAGTCGGTTGTAGAAAATTTTTAATTTTAAATTATTAAGTGGCGAAGCTTGCGAAGTCACTTATTGATTTCACGATGTCTGTCCGTCTGTCCGTCTATCCCACGATTATCTCGAGAACGGTTACGAATTTTCAAATTCTGTTTTCAGCAATCGATTACTGATCACCCAGGCATCTGAACCTCCTATTTTGAAACTGATTGCTCAACGGCAACCGTTAGAAACCGCTACAAAGCTGATTGCTATGCTGTTAGCTTGCTAGGTTTATTTTTAACCCAACAATGTTAAAATCAAAAATTACAGCTTAGTGCAAAAACCTCGTCTCATTTCTGAGAAGGTTATGGAATAATTAGTCCGACATACTGCTCCATTGTATTGTATTGGCCGACCTCACATGTCCACAAAATGTTTTATTACTCAGACATGCAGGTTTCCGCTGAGCATGTCATTGGTGCTGATAGGAATCGAACACAGGTTGATCAATTAAAATCATATACAATTATATAATACCTTTCCTCCTCCTCCACGTACTGCCTTTATCATTAAAGGAAAACCAATCTTGTGTGCTTCAGCTTGTAACCTCTCAACACTTTGATCTTCACCGTGGTAACCCTTAACTATTGGAACGCCAGCACTGGACATTATGGCTTTTGATGTGCTGTAAGTTATGTAACACGATTACTTATAACAACTAATGACAAGCGGTTAAATCAAATTTATGGAAAAGGCTTGTAAAAAGCAGTTTTTGTAAGAGGACTGTGGCAGACATTGTGAGATATGGCAATCAGCTCACAAGTACCTCTCACTTATTTCTACCGTGTAAGTGGCAGAGTACTCACTGCTGTATTCATGTTTGATGGGTAAGAAAGTTTTGAATTATATTGTATAAATTGTTTGTTATCCCTAATAAAGAGAAAAAAAGCCAATATGTATTCAGACTACATGATATAATATATGTGGCTTTCTCCGTTTAAAGTTTCTTTAGATGATCCTGGGCCAGTAGACACTTTCTATCTGATTTAGCCTGATTGTCACTCTAAAATAAATAAGTTGAAGCTTTTATTATTTATCTTTTAAAATGATAATTTAATTTGTAATAAATTTTCCTCATAAGAATACTTTTTCCAAGTACTTTGAATCTTTGAATTTATGCAAAGCCAATTTAGTAATCTCCGAAACGGCTGGACCGATTTTAACGGGACTTTCACTGGAAGATAGCTAATGTTATAAGGAGTAACTTAGGCTACTTTTATTTTAGAAAAATAATTAGGGTTCCGCGCAAAAACATTAAAACCCATAAAATCCAATTGTAATAAATTCCACGCGGGCGAAGTCGCGGGGAACAGCTAGTATCACATTAAATCTAGCCATAAATACTTATACTCCTACCAAGCACAAGATTTAAAGGACAACATTACAAAGGTCATATGTAATGTTAATGTCACACCTATGCCGGTAGTTGTTTGCTTGGAACACTATGCTAGAAGTTAGTGCGTATGTTTACATAGAACAAATTGCAGCTTGTATCTCGGCTAGGTATAGTTCAGAAGATTATGACACATCTTCTTGTCACATATTCCTCTAATCTTAAAAACATGAGTGAACAACCAGTGTCTGAATCTGATGCCAGAGAAGGCTTATGGATGGTTATTCATGGCATCTTCACGGCACCTTATGGTCACTCATTGGGCTATGGATAGGGCTAAGCTCAAAGTTTATCGGTGTAATAGAATCCTTAATAGAGATATCTGCAGTAGAACCATCAACATAGCACAACTCAAAGAACTAACAACTGATGGGTAAGAAAGGTTCTAAAGTAGCAGCCTTTTACAAATACGTGAATAGAAGGGTGGCTCTCCAAAAGTGATAACCCGTTAAGACATATAGAAAGTAGATGGATGAAAGTGGCTCAGGACTGTTATGTGGCATTACTTTGACCTTTCCAATGCTCATTATGTTTAGCAGTAGACTTGGATGTCAAGTTCAGACTTTTTGTGTAAATAAAAAAATGTGTAAAGGTGAATAGCTAAGGCAACAATCACTCTTTTTGGCAAAGGTATTTTTAAAATAGTTTCTTACACGCTGGTACTTGCCAAATATCTTAACTGGCATAGTGATTACTGTAGAATTTTCTTGACAAGAAGAGAATGCCTACAGGCATTACCATACCATTACAGCTCCTAAGAGTACACTGCTGAACATAGGCCTCCCCATAGAATGTCTCATAAGGAGGATGTTTGCCATACATGTTAGAAAATAATAAATTTAAAGGTACTCTTAATGGTTAATGTTGGCGACGTGCTTAAAAAATAGTTTGTCATTTTTCATTTCATAAAAAATAAATAAATTCGCATTTTAAAATTATTGCTATTAAATTATATAAGGCATTGCGAATAATAGATTGAATATAATTGTCAAACGAAAGTTAAGGGTTCGATTCCCCGGTCAAAAGTTAATTCGACAAAAGTTTGTTTATAGATTAATTTAGTCATGTGTTACATAGTAATCAGCTATGCAATACGAATAAAAGTCTTGTATTAAATTAGATACTTATTTTACATGAAAATATATTTTTCTCTTGTGATAAGAGATAAGATTCATAATGGCTAGATAAGAATAGCATATGTAAACAAATAATGTTTCATATGCTCAGAGATAGTTGAAATTTAGATCTCCTACTGATATGATAAGGGTCATGTATGGATTGGTTGTTCATGTTGTATGGGATTTAAACAATGTCTAAATAATGTACTATAAAAAAATATACTTTATCGATTTGTGAAAATTTCAGTAATATGTGTAGAAATAAGTAATAAATGTTTCAGGATTATTGTGTGTATTAATAAGAACAGTACTGTGTTAAAAGTGTCTAAATTTGTGCTTAAAATAGTGAAATAATAAAAGATTTATATAAGTAAATTAAAGTGTATTAATTAATGCTTTTAAATTGTGAATTAAACTATTGTATTAGTTATGCATGTTTATTAATAATGATTGTTATTTTGACCATGTGTGTTAAATATTTAAGATTTATAACTTTGAAAATGTTATGTATAATAGGTGTATTTTGTTGAATAATTTAATATGTTTTTATGTGATAACGATAATGATAAAGAAATAAAGATATGGGGTAAAATACAAGGGTGCATTGACGAAAGTTAATGTTATATAATATGTCGACATGGCGCGTGGCGCGCTGTTTTCTTTCGCGTATATCTCGCATACTAGTATAGTAAACTGGTAATTTAGAAATTTGTTTGGGACCAGCTACCAGTTTTATAGTTTAAATCAAGAAAGAGAACAATAGGGAAAGGGATAGGAAAAATGGTGAAAGTTTCAACGTTGCACTCTTATGGGGAAATTACGAAGATAAAATTGATGTTTCATTTCCTACTGCACCTTCAAATTACGAAGATATACCGTCCACTGTACAGACGTCAAGACCGGGACCACTCCATAGGGACCCGTAATCTTACTTATCTAAACTTTCTTTTAAGAAAGGGAAACAGACGTCCTAGTGTGGCACTCCTTCCTTCTTGGGGATCACGCCTCGTTGTTCCCGAACCCAACGTGGTGTGATTTTAGTTTCTTGGGGTAGAAGGTCAATGACCGATTAAGCCCTGTCTGTTGGACCCTTTCAGTTAAGTTGTGGTTCCATTTTTATAATGCTAGTGTGCTCTCCCTATATATATATTTACATCTCATGAGTAGATAATCTTGCATCCTACATGGGTGAAATTACCGATGATGTTGCGTCCGACCGACTTGTTGAGTCCAGTATACGGACGCAAGATTGACCCACCCTAATAATCAGCCAACAGACTTCATATTATGGGTAAACCATCTGGGCATGGACGTTATTTCATCATTGCAATGAATTTCGGCGAATATTTTAGTTCAGCGACTTGCCGCACAACATTTGTAGGTCGCTACTTCTCGGTGTATATCGGCGCTGTGTATATTCCACTTTTTTCTCCATCTTTTACTCCGTGTATCTTGCTACCGTATATTGTAAAGGTTAGTTTTTATAAACTCAAATCGATGATTTAACTACTTCCGCAAAGTGAGCTCCCGATATGAGCTGTACGGGGAAGTAAATATGAAAGAAGCGGGAGGCTCTTACGATTCGCGCTCGGGCACGTGGCGAATATTTTTGTTTATTAGCTAAATGGTCCCTGATCGGTCGAATCGTAAAAGTGAAGTGAGAATTTTGAGATCGTCTTGTTTTTTTCGTAAATTTGTTTGAATTGTAGATTTACTGATTGTACTGATTTTATTAAAAAAAAAAAAAAACAAAAACAATATTTAATTAATATTATTTTTATTTGTTTTTTTTTTTTCAAAATGTGTTGTCACACATGAGTAGGTTCCTATAAGAACAAAAATAATAGAAAACATTTATCTTGCAACTCCTCAAGCTCCTCCTCAGATTCAAGCTACCTGAAATCTTGATGAAATAGAGAAATAGCTTGTATGTAACCAAGATAGGCCCGAGGTCGCAAATAGGGAGCAGGGAGACGTGCAGAGAGCCAAGCGTAAAAGTGTTTTTAACAGTGGTAGAGCCACGCGGCAGCTTTTGCTGTCGCACGGATGGGCCGACTCGAACCGAGGTGGTACATGACCTTATAGACTACCAGCGTGAAGTAGAAGTTTACTTCTGCATTTCACCTGGTATGTACAAGTGGACGGAGGCCCGATTCCCCCTCCCCATTAACATGGTAGCGGAGTTAAATAAAACACTACCCCAAGAGGGTACGAGCATCTTTGGTGACGGAGATCCCTCGCTGAGCATCCACTGTTTTCAACGCGTCGGCAATCTTGAAGGTATGGACCTGTCCATCCTATGGCTGCGCGTATACCGCGACAAACATCTCCACGTCTACGGGTACCTCTATAGGTTCCATTTAAGTAATGCCTACACAGACCGACTCATCGACCACGTCCAAATACTGCAGACTCCGTGCTACAACAAGTCCCATCTGGAGAGATCTTGATCCTGGGTAACTTTAACGCCTACCACTTGATTGGTTCCTGTTTAACCGATCATGTTTATGATTTTTTTTACCTTGGCATATGGTCTCACACATCTGGTTACTTCGCCTACGCGGATCTCCGATGTGGAGGATCATGCACCTTCCTTGTTACACCTTCTGCCGACCTTCATCCGGACGGATATGGGTGTCCGTCGATGGTCCTCTTGGCTCTTCGGACTATTGTCTGATCCGGAAGACGCTGCCACTCACGCTACCTCGCGTTGCGATCTACGGGTTGCCACCGTGTTAAGCACTATACACTATAGGTGGGCCGATAGGGACAGGATGCGGTCTTTTTTTGCATCCTACCCTTGCGGTTGGGTATGCTTTTCGCCGGATGATCCCAACGTTGTTGCTAATTCTGTCGTTGATGTGGTACTTCACGGAATGTAACTTTTTATTCCATCATCTGTGGTGCCTATCAGAGGCAGAACTCGGCCATGGCTTAGTCACTCCTGTAAAATTGCATCACACCAGGTGTGATACCTGGTGTGATGCAATTTTATAGAAATGACTTTTGCTGCTTATGCAGGAGTGCTACTGGGCCTGAGGTGACGCATCGTCTCTGGATGCAAACACAAGCGTTCTTAAAAAGAAGTATAATTCCGCATCCAGGTCCTTCAAA